GTTTGGTCCATTCCTGGTTGTGTCTGTTCTCCTCTGACTGACTTTCTTTGGTTTCTGACCGTTCAGAGCCTCTGAAGTCCAGAAACCGTCTCTGCTGTGCCTTCCTGTAACTCTGCTGTGTTTGTGCCCCTCAGACGACATGGTGACGTCCAAGTCCAGCCTGTTCTTCCTGATCTCCAGCGAGGGGAACCAGAACCTGGACGTGACCCAGGCCACCCTCTGGCTCTACTTCAAGCTGCTGCCGCCGCCGCCGGAGCTCCGCGGCCGGCGGAAGGTGACGGTGAAGGTGTACTACCAGGAGCCGGGCCTGGGCAGCCGCTGGAACCTGGTGGAGCGGCGGGTGGAGCTGAAGCGCAGCGGCTGGCACACCTTTGCGCTGACCGACGCCGTCCGGCTGGTGTTCCAGAAGGGCGACCGGCGCCAGAACCTGGACGTCCGCTGCGAGGGCTGCGAGGCGGAGGCCGTCCTGCCCGTCCTGCTGGGCCTGGGCGACGAGTCCCACCGGCCCTTCCTGGTGGTGCAGGCGAGGCAGGCCGATGGCAAACACCGCATCCGGAAGCGAGGGCTGGAGTGCGACGGCAGCAGCAGCCTGTGCTGCCGCCAGCAGTTCTACATAGACTTCCGCCTCATCGGCTGGAACGACTGGATCATCGCGCCGTCAGGATACTTCGGGAACTACTGCGAGGGCAGCTGCCCCGCCTACATGGCGGGCGTGCCCGGCTCGGCCTCGTCCTTCCACACGGCGGTGGTGAACCAGTACCGCATGCGGGGCATGAGCCCCGGGTCCATGAACTCGTGCTGCATCCCCACCAAGCTCAGCACCATGTCCATGCTGTACTTCGACGACGAGTACAACATCGTGAAGCGCGACGTGCCCAACATGATCGTGGACGAGTGCGGCTGCGCCTGAGTTGGGCTCGCCGTGGACGGACTGGTGATGTCAGAATATTTATGGACGCCGTGTCTCCTCCCCTCGTGTACGCTGCACTCGGACCTGTACATATATTTATGTTGTCGTATATCTCCTTGACCCACTGTGGAGGACCAGCCTGCAGCTCCTCACAAACACCTCCAGGTTTGATAATGTCTCGTTTTTGGATTGAAACTCTTCCGACAGCGTCTCCGGAGGTTTGGCTCGACCCAGTGACGCCTCCGACCGCCAACGTACAGCACTTCTGGCTTCTGGCTCCGTCTTACAGAACCTTTGGTCCACGATAGAACCGAGCGGACTAGAACCACAGCACAGGTTCTTTCCACCATGTTCAGGTCTCTGAAAACTGGACGTCCAACCGTCATCCACCAGAACTTTTTGCTCCATCTGGTTCCTCTTGTTTCTCGTTTAAACAGACTAAATACAGAAATGTGCTTGTGATTCAGAAAAGTCTTCCTCTCAGAACCAACAATGGAAAAACGGCATCAGGTTTCAAAATCAATCAATCAATCAGTCAATCGATCAATCAATCGATCGATCAATCAATCAATCAATCAATCAGTCAATCAATCAATCAATCAATCAGTCAATCAATCGATCAATCAATCAGTCAATCGATCAATCAATTAATTAATTAATCAATCAATCGATCAATCCAGGTCTGATTCAGTGTTTCTGGTAATTCCTTTTTTTTTTTAAATTTCCAAACAAGAGAAATAAATCTGTTTTCCATGTTTCATGTCCAGCCACCACCAGAACCACCAGAACCACCAGAACCACCAGAACCACCAGACAGTGGACCCGGTTCTGTTCACGTTAAAGATGAACTCTGTGTGATTCTAGATTTAATGTTTCTGTTTTAAACCAGTCACGAGGAAACTAAAAACAAACTTTCCTATTTCAGATTTTTATCTTTTAAACCAACAGAAACGAGTCCAGCCGTCGTTAAAAATAAAAAAATAAACAAATCAATGATCAATGATAAACAAATCAATGATCAATATTAATGGATGAATAAACTTTCTTTGGTTTTCGTCGTCGTCTTTTGGACTTTGTTGGTCTTCTAAGCGACATGGAGACAGTTTTTCTTCTGTTCTTCTCATTAAGACCAAAACACTTTGACATGTTTTAGTTTTTATGGAATTACTGAAACCCGGAACCGGCCGAGGCGTCATCGCTTCCTGAAGCCGTTTTTCCATTCTGGGCTTTGAACCCAACAGCAGAAAGGTTCTTGTTGATCACCTGAGCTGGAGACGATGGGATGGTTTCTACTGGACTTCTGTTTCACGGCGTTTTGGTGACGACGGTGGATCAGGAGCACCTCGCGGCTTCCTGTCACGGCTGGACGTTTGCTCTCCTTCAGCTTCTCCTCAGAGGAGAAGCTCTGACTCCTCACCATCAGATTGAATCGTCTGAGCTTCAGAGTGAAACGCTGACAGCAGCAGATTGAAGATGCCTTCAGAGCCCCGCGTGGCGCCCACAGTCCTCCCAAAACGAATAAGTGCCGCATGAGCTATGCAATGTATAGAATGAGCCGTTCATCGGCCCCAAGCTCCAGCGCCAAGCTGTCATTTATACTTGAAGAATGGACGCGAGCGGCGGGTCGGGCTGCAGGCGGGAGCATCAGCGGACCGGCGCCGGTTCTGTAAACGGCTAAAAACACGTTCAGAGTCTAAAAAGCTGCAGGACGTCTGACTAACCAGAGAAAACGTCTAAAAGTCCTCCTCAGTTTGGTCTCTGTTGACTTTTCAACATTTAAAACTAAACTTAAACCTTAAAAAGTGAATCTTTAGCAGCTACAGACTCATTCTTTAGAACTAAGCTGATATTTAGACCCGACAAAGCGACCGACCAGCAGGACTTCTCTCCACAGAAACGTGTTTCTGGGTCGTTTGAAACATGCAACGTCTGTAAATGTTTGTTTTAAAGGATGAAAAGCCAAGAAAGTTGGAAAATTAGACAAAATTCTCAATTTAAAGTTTCAGTTTTAATGTCGTACAATTTTTAAAAAGCTGCAGAAAGCTTAATAAATCTGAGAAAACGTCTAAAAACCCTCCTCAGTTTGGTCTCTATTGACCTTTTCAACATATAAAACATCCCGTAAACCTCAGAAAGTGACTCTTTAGAGCCGTTGATGCATAAATAAGAACTAAGCTGATATTTAACCCAAACAAAGCGACCGCTCAGCAGGACTTTCAGGTGTTTTCTGGGTACGTTTCTGGCGCCGTAACGCCGTCACTCGGCGGTTTGAGGGTGAAAAGCGAAGAGAATCCAAAGTTTGGGTTTCAAAGTCAGACAGAAGACGAGCGAGCGGCTGGTCTCCGGAGACGTGCGGCGCACTTTGCAGGTTTTTTCTCTTTCATCCTAGAAAAGTTTTCCTGCAGTGGCTGAAATGTGAAAAGAGGCTAACTGGGGCTAACTTTGACCCAAATGCGACGCCTGAAAAGTGATTTTTAAATGAATCCGTCCCAGCGGAGTTCCCGTCGCGGCCCGCTAACACACTTTGAGACACACTTTCAGGCCTCAGCCGCTTTGATATTTTCAGAATAAGAGCTTCCCGTTGTCCCGTGCGCACCTGGGGGGTTTCACCTGCCCGTCGCTCGACCCCGACCTCGCCCGCCGCCGCCGCCGCCGCCAGAACCTTCATTAGAATATTTGCACTGAGGACCAGAATAAAATGAACAGAAACTGCCATTGAAATGAAATAAAAGCTATTTTTATAGAATTAAATTGAGCTCAAATGTATTAACGATGGAACCAAAGAGGCCGCGAGGCGTCCGAGGCCGACACTGTATCAGGGTAGCAGCTCGGCTCTGTTTTCTACCGCCACCGGGATATTTCCTATTTTTTCATCAGATAAATATTCCCAGACCTCCTTCCTGTTGTTGTTAGCTCCACGTAGCGACGCCATGCGGTCCCCGTGCAGTCGGTGTAACACACGAGTCCACGCTTTGGGATGTTCTGATCTTTGTAATTGATGACAAATAAATTTCTTATTACCGATTGTATGGATTTTGTTGTCGGACTTTCTGTTGGTGTTGATTCTTGACTCGACGCCTTTCTCTCGTTTTCAGGTTTCGTGGTTTCGTGTCTCGTCTTTGTGCTTTTTCATCTCGTTTGTGTCGTTTTGTGTCTCCTTTGTGGTGTCTTGTTATGTTCGGTTGTTCTGTGTCTTCTTTGTGTCGGATCGGTTTGATTTCCGTCTCGTTTTGTGTCGTTTTGTGTTTCGCTTCTGTTTGTGTGGACGTGCGTCTCATTTTGCTTGTTTACATCTTTGTTGTGTTGACGGCATTTTGTG